TGATGCCAGGGTTGTCTACGGCATATGAAGCACTGTCACAGGTTCGTCCCGTCTAACCCTCAGAACACCTCCATGGGTAGTTACTATTATTCCCATTTTTCAGATGCTGAAACTGAGGGCTCGACATTTATGTAACTTGCTCCCAGTCACAGAGCTGACAAGAGCTCTACCACTCGAATCCATATCTCTTTGATACCAAAAGGCATATCATATCCTTTTCACATTTGCATAAATCTGTGTTTCTACCAAGAGGCCTGACAGATGGCTGCATGACCCTGGGTTACCCAGCCTGTCTTTTTATAAACATTCCCCCTTTGGGGAATTTCTCCTGCCCCTTTCCCTTTGGGATGCTTAATATGGCTTCATACCCTTTGATCTCCTATCAAATGAGGAACAAACCTGGGTTAGGTCAGTTTTGCTTATGAACAGGTGGCAGGTGAATTCAGAATGTTCTTCAGTGGTGAGACGTTTCTCTTGGGACATTACTGATCACAGACATTTGCGTTTTATACTTTTTGTCTCTGGTTATGGAATGAAAGGTTAGACCTCTTGAAGGATGTCAAACATCATTGACTAGTAGGTGGGGGAGGTTTAGGGAAAAGAGTAGAGGTCGGTGTTCCAGAAATCACAGGGTGTGATCAGTTAGGACTGAGCTGGCTGCCTATAGCAGAAAGCCCCAAACAACAATGCCTTAAACTCACAGGGGCTAGTTTTCTCTTACACACACACACACACACACACACACACACACACACACACACACCACACACACACCACACACAATCTGTAAGAAGGCAGGCCAGCATTGGCATGGTGGTCCCATGAACATCCTAGACCAGCCTTCTCTCATCTTTCCGCTCCACCATCCTTAGCAAGAGGCACCATCTTCAAGGTTGCTTCATGGTCTAGGATGGCTGCTGGAGCGCTGGCCATCATGTCCACATTCCAGTTAACAGAAAGAAGGAGGTGAGGGGAGTTGCACCTAAAACATTCTGCAAGGGAGGCTGAGAAATTGACTCATCAACTGGGTACAATGCCCAGTGTCTCACTCAGTGGATATTGAGTAGATGCCTAGAAGTCCCTGCCACATGTGACTTACTCGTAAGAGTAGCCCATAAGGCCCGGATTGGTCCTGTTAGGGTGACTATCACTAGGGTGCTGAAAGGGTGTTATGAAAGGGCCTCATCTCGCTTCGCCCCCACTAGCCCGGTGGCTCTGCAAAGCTGCAGACCTCATCCTGCAGGCATTTCCGTGGGGTCATTGCACTTGTTCAGAGCAGCATATGTCTTGTGGTGGCACTGAACTGTCATTCCAAGAACTCACATCTCCTCTGCCTGCATGGAGGCCTGCCCAGTGGGTTCCTTCTCCCCAGTATTTTCCTCTTGGCTTTCTAGCCACATTGCTTCTCACCTTCCACGTCTCTGCTCCTGCATTCCCGGTGGCCAGGGATTCCAGCCTCCCTTGTTATGTCCTCTCCTCCTTTGTCTATTCACCTGAAAGCTGTGCTTCACCTTCCTACCCAGGCCCTGCTGAGGCCCACAGCCATGAGTTTCCAATTCCTCCAGTCTCTCTGGAGTCCAGGATCCTGGAGATGGGGAGCAGGAAGGCACTGCACATGGGACCCCCAGTGAGGAGGGAAGTGTAAGAGAAACCAGGCTGTGGAGAGCGGTGTGCCTGGTGTTTGCTTCAGGGTATGACGTAGGTCAAACTGTCCACCGTGAGTTGATATTAATTGTAGATGCTGGAGAACCAAACCTGACCAAGTCTCATTTGGAGACTGCATTGCCGTTGGGGCCGGGCCCTGATTCCACTCTGTGGATTCCGTGGAATCTTGGTGTTCCCCTTGTAAGAGGAAACTGAGTCAGATGTGGCTGCTGCCTGCCTCCCCCAGGCTCAAGTACCCACATGACCCTCAGCATGGACCTGTCTATCAGTGTGTTGCTAATACCAGTGCTGCTTGATGGCAGATGTAGTGATTTTCATGTGTCCTGGATCTTCACAGTCAGCTGTTCTGTGAAGAATCCCTATCTATTTGCAACTTTGAAAAAGAGTGGAAGCTTTGATGGGCAAACAAGCTTGATGGCGAAGGGTCTTGGACAACTGGGCCAGGAGTTTGACCTTCACTATGCCTGTGTTCTGCCTACCCACCCCATTCTTTCCTATATGGGGTGACTCCTCTCGATTTCTTACTTGCTAGGGCCTGATGCAGGAACAACCCAGGCAAGGTTTTTGTTTAGCCCTTGCACCAATCTTGATCCAAGAAGCTAAACTCAGACAGTTGTTTCCATCTGCTAAGGTGACCAAGGAAGGCTGTGATCTAAGATCAAAGGGAGAGAGGAGTCTATTGATCCGAGGCTCCCCAGTGTAGCTTCCCTGTTTGGGGAGTGGAGGGTGGAGTTAAGGGTGGTCCCGAAACTGATATTGCACACCCCCACTTAGCATTCATGGCCTCCGTGGCATCACCAGGTAACACTGTGAAAACCAAGCCCGTGGAGGATGCTGGGAGATATTCCCAACCTCACAGCATAGAGCAGCAAATGGGGACTCAGCGGTACAATTTCTAAGCCAGGTTCAAAGGAGTGAGTCTGTACAAAAGTTTGTAGGATCAGGGCCTCCTCCACACTGCACAGTCTTTTCTAATTTGTTCCCAGCTCAGGCCCCAGCCCACCAGTTAATTACCCAAAACTCCACACCCCATGCATGCTAAGCAGGGGGGTCCATTACCAAGAGAGACCCAGGAAGGGGGTTGACAGTGTTTTTGGGGTGATGGCAGGAGTTTATCTGATGATCGTAGGCTCTGCTTGGAAACTGTTGGTACCTTGGGTATTCAGCACCGGCCAAACAACTCGGAAAATAACTCTCTCTGGGTCAGGGTGTGCCAAGAGGTACTGGCCTCCTAAATATCCCCCGTTAAAGCAACAGGATACATACAGCAACAGTCGCATGGAGTCCACGTAGCTCATACGAAGCAGCTTCTTGTTCTAACTGTAGCACAATCCGAAAATGAGACGAAGGCACATGAATGTAGATGTGAGAGATTGCTCTTCATCCTAGAGATGAGAGGACATGAAGGAGCTTCAAGGTTGTCCACAGTACCAGGCACTCCAGAACAAAAGTTCAAGCAGCGTGATGATGAACCGTTGGGTATGGCGACGGGGAAAACGTTGCCAAGCTTCAGGAGAGCAAGGTCAGGAGGGCAGAGGCATCGGAAGCCAGTGGCTGGGCGTTTTGGAAGAAAGCTGATGTGGAGGGAGAACGACATCACATCACAGTCCACTGCTTCCTGGAGTGCGACCGCCTGGATGACCTGGGTCAACAGAGGCAGAAGTGGCAGTGACGAAATGGGGTCAGCAGGGTGTAGGTTACCTGTTAAAAGCATTAAATAGTAGAAGAAAAGAGAAATAAGGTCAAGAGAAGATTTTGCGTGTCTGTGTATTTTACGGTCAGGGAGATGGGGGATATCTGTTTGTCTCCACTACGGTAACTACGGTAACTACGGTAACTATGGTATTATGTTGGGGTGGTTGGAGAGTGGGTGAGGATCTCTTCTCTGTAATGCATGTGAGTGGCCACCAGATGGTGTCCCAAGTCCTGATGTAATAGCCACTGTGTCAAGGACTTTCCTGGCAAAACGGATCAAATGTTAACTTCTAAATATGTGATGATTACATAAAGTAAACATCATACAAAAGGCCCAAAATCAAAGCAATTAGGTCCCAAGTTAGAAGAGCATTATATGGTAATTTTCTGCCTTTCACAGTCTTTCTATTTATAGCTGTCTTTAACCCCCCGGTCCAGACTTCCACTTCTGAGGGGACGTCCTACAGGTTCCCAGCTCAGTCCCAGTTCAGGGTGGCCCTGCTCTGGATGGGGACTACCCCGGGCCTATTTCCAAGCTATGACAAGAAGGCGGCCCACCCCGCTGGGTCCCCAGCCCCTGCTCTGTGAGGGAGTGAACCTGTGCTTCCTGTTTCACCTCCTCATCGTGGTGGAAACAGAACTGAACGCACACTGTAAAGCAACTACTGTGCAGAACGGAGTCAAGTTGCAGAAACAAAAGGAAAACCTTTGGTGTGTTTCTTCTCAGCATTTGGAAGTCAGAGGAGACAGAGAGGGGGAAGGGCCGGGGAGAAAGGGGATGTGGACTGGGAGCAGAGCCTGGGATGCAGCTGCCTCAGAGCAGAGAGGACGCCAGGCCAGACCGCGATCCTTTGAGAGGACTCGGGACTCCAGGCAGAGATGGGGAGGCGCAGGTGTGGAAACTCGAAACCGGCTGCCTGGCTGGAGCTGAGGCAAAGTGGTTGGGCTGACAGGTGCCTGGCATAGCGGGAAGGCACCCAGGACCGGGAGAGGGGATGGCGGCAGGGACCCAGGAGTAGCCCGGCGGCATGAGACGCGGCAGCCTCCTGGGCCCAGGTTCTGCCTCCCACGATGCTCTCCCTCCCAGTCTCTGAAGAGAGAAACTTTAAGTTGGTCAAGCTGTGATGGGGCCTGGGAATCATAGACTGTTAAAGGCCTCAGAGACCACTGATCTAATCTGCCCCTTCCCAGGAGAAACTGAGGCTCAGGGATTAAGTGACCCAGCAAAGAGCTGGAATAGAACTCAGGCTTCTGACCCGGGCTCTCACCCTGGATTCCTTTCTCTTTAGCTAGGCTGCCTCCAAGCCTGGGGCCAGGGCCTGAGCCACCAGGGGAGTGGCAAGCTCTTAGGAAGGGAGGGCAATCGGAGAGGCCATGGGAATCCAGAGGACAGCGAGGCCCAGGACGAGTTTTGGTGTTGGAGGCGAAGGTGGGGATATGACTCGTGAGGTGTAAAAGGATGCATAGAAGCAAACTGCTAGGCACGCTGGAGGAGCCACTGAACAGCCCCTCTCCAGGTTCTCCTGAGCTCCATCTGGGAACTTCCAACCTGATTGTCCGGTGCTTGGCTCGCCACGAAGCACAAGGACGATGCTGAAGGAACTGACCAGCCCATGAACTCTTTTCTTGTTGGCCCACAGGGATCTCCTACCAGAGGCTGGTGAGGGCTGAGCAGGGTCTGCCCATCAGGAGTCACCGCAGCTCCACCGTGTGAGTGCTCTTGGGGGACGGAGAAACAGAGGGAAGGGAGTTTGGGACCCCTGCACTGTTCCACCTTCACCCTCCTCCCCCACTCAAACATCCAGTACCCCGCCCCCCGCCCCCCCACCATCCATCCCAGTCAGCAACAAACAGGCTTCCAGGGAACTGGGAACTCCTGGCACTGCTGGTGATACTTTGTGTCCAGGTTTGTTTTTCTAGGCTGAGGGTCTTTCACCAGATTCTTAAAGAGGGCCGCATCAATTGTGCCAGGTGTTAGGCACACAGTTCCCCCACTTTATCCATTCTTTTCAGATGAGGAACTGGAGGTCAGAGAGGCCAAGCAACTTCCCCAAGGTCACACAGCGAGCAAGGGTCTGAGCCACAATTTAACTCTCAGGCTTATTCAGAAGCCCATGGTATTTCCACAGTCTCTTTCTGCCTGTTACTAAAACAGTGTTTCCAAACTTTTTTGACCAGGACCTACAATAAAAATCCATTTTATACGACATCCTGGTACACACACACACACACACACACACACAGAGACATCCTGGTACACACACACACACACACCCCTGAAACGAAATGTATCCCACACACACACACACACTCCTGAAACGAAATGTATCCCTGCTGCGTAGGATGAGCTCTATTCTATTCTATTTCATTTAAGAAACAAATTCAGCTCCCCCAGATGACTTCATTACTCACTCCTGGGTCCTCACCTGCAGTTTGAAAAGCACTAGAGAGGGGGTGCCCATTCGGAGGACCCTCTGCAGGCCTCGAAGAGTTGGGTGCTGCCTTGCCTTGACATGTTGGGAGCCCAGGGACCCCAGCCTTCACCAGTGCAGAAATTATAGGCCCCTGGCCCTCCCCATTCCCAGCCCCAGGGGTTCACTTCCCACTCACTCCCCTGAGCAACACTTCTTGATTTCCCTCTAGGTAAAAACAAGCACAAACAAAATGATAGATGTTGAGAGAGGGAAAGGATGCTAACATGTTGTAGTTTAGTAAGTAAATAAGATGCCTCTGGGGGAGCTGGGGCAGGTGGGCTGATGAAGAATCATCAACGCCTCTTAGACCCTTTCTCGACCTCCAGGCGCCATTCTAAGCGCAGTTACGCAGTTACGTGTGCTGACTCATTTAATCCTCACGTTAACCCTGTGAGAAGGGGAGTTTTCACATCAGGGAAGTGAGGCACTGAGAGATTTGTAGAAAGAGCTTACAGTTGGGAGATGGTCTCACTTTCATTATCTATAAATTGAGAATGATGATAAATTATGCGGCAGAGAAATTATGTGAGCTGGTGAGGGCAGGGGCTCAGCTGGGCTCGTTATAAGGTTATAAGGCGCTGCTTATGCAAGCCTACCTCCTTTTTCTTACAGATAGAGAAATCAAAGTTAGTTTCTTCCCAAATGATGGGGACTTTGACAGAGACTAGTCCTGTCTCTGCCCTGTCCCCGGGCACCGATGTCCACAGAGTCTGGAGGGAATGCTGCCTGCATAGGGCTCCTCTGCACTGGGTTTAAATGCAGAGTGTGGAACTGAGAGAGCAAGAGCCATCACACGCAGCTCATACTAAAGCATTTATGGATACAAAGCCACGATGGCTCGACTTTGCTTCGAGGTCATGCAGTGATGCAGGGGGGTTGGCAGGGGGGAGGTGAGAACAGCCGTGCGTTGTTAACTGTAAACAAAGTGATCAGTGCCTCAGAGCCCACGATTCTTTTAATTTGCGGTATGTTTGAAAGTTTCCACAATAAAGAAATGTAAACACTGGCACCAAGAGGGAATCTGGGTGTCCATCGGGAAGGGAGGTAGCAGTGGCCAGGCACACACTCCCCTCCCAGCCCACGAAAGCCTGTATCACGACTTTGGGCCAATTAGAAAAGGTGTCCCTCACGAGCGCAGGAAGAAGATGCACTCTGACTTGGCACCCTCTCCTCTGGGCAGAGGCAGCCCCACGCCACGAGGAATTTCATGCCCCTCTCGCCCCAGACCACACTGCACAGCGCCACGTCGCTGCCCGGCTCCCGCCGAAAACTGGTCACTTGGCTTCAAGTCACCTTGCCGAAAATAGGATCCTCATTTGAGTGATCTTTCGTCCACTCAGCTGTCTTATAGGAAAAAAATGGTTTTGTAAAAATTAAGTAAATTTAGTTTTAAAGAATTAAGTTCAATTTTGAAAAGATCTTTGAAAACAATAGCTGAAAAATGCTCAGCAGCGAACCCCACCCTTTCCCTGGGGACCTGGGTCCTGGAGCTGCTGCTTCTGTCCTGGCCTCCTGTGGTCACCTCCTCAAGCTCTGCCTGGGCTTGAGGAGGCCCTGGCCTCAGCGGAGCTGAGCACCAGCAGGCACGAGGTGGGTGGCTGTGCCGTGGCATGCTGCCCGCCCCCAGGTACCATAGCCGGTCCCCTGTGTCCCCAGCACCGTGCTGTTGCTGAACCCAGTAGAAGTGCAGGCCGAGTTCCTCGCTGTAGCCAATAAGCTGAGCACCCCCGGACACTCGCCTCACAGTGCCTACACCACCCTGCTCCTGCATGCCTTCCAGGCCACCTTTGGGGCCCACTGTGACGTCCCGGGCCTGCACTGCAGGCTGCAGGTATGTACCTGGGGCCTGGGGCTCTGGTGGAGCACCTCTCCGAAGAGGTAGCGCCCTCTCCCTGCTTCATCTCAGCCACGGTCTCCAGGGTACACTAGTCTCCGGCGCCCCAGGTGACATGGCAGGGTGGTGGCTGGAGGGCGGGCCTCGTAGAGGGGGTTTCTGGTGCGCTGGATCCTGACCAGTGGGGTGGCAGCCTGGGCAGTGGGGCCGGGTGCTGGTAACCGGTGCCTCAGAAGATGGCATGTGCCATAAGAACGAGAATGAGCTTCGGGCTGAAGACCTGGCCTCTAGGCCTGGCTCTGTCACAGGTCGGCTGTGTCACCCCACACAGCTTCTTCCCCTCTCTGGGGCACAGTGAGGAGCGCTGAAGTCCCTCCTGACTGTACTGCCTGTGGGCAGGGAGAGGCCTGGCTGCCTGGCCAGCTGTGGGTAGGAGATGGGTGATGAGGGTGGGAGGGGACAGATCACTGCCTCCCTCAGTATGAAGCTAGGAACTGGAACAGGTGGACAGCTAGCTCACGGTCCAGGAGCAATGCCCATCTCCTCCTGGGGTTTCAGGCCAAGACCCTGGCAGAGCTTGAGGACATCTTCACGGAGACCGCAGAGGCACAGGAGCTGGCATCTGGCATCGGAGATGCTGCAGAGGCCCGGCGGTGGCTCAGGACCAAGCTGCAGGCGGTGGGAGAAAAAGCTGGCTTCCCTGGGGTGTTAGGTGAGGCTCTTGGGAGAGTGAGGTTCTCCCACATTCCCCATGGCCTATTCTAGGTCCCAAGGTGCACGGTCCAGGTGGGCCTGGCGGCTCTGCTCCACACAGTCACTCAGGGACTCAGCTTTTTCAGTATCTCACTGCTCCGTCATCCCCTGGGGTGTCTGTCATTCCTATCTATAGGGGCAGGGTGGGGGTGCCATCATGATGGCAGCTTGCGGGAAGAGGAAAAGAGAGTGCTTATGAGGGCAAAGCCTGGGCTTTTCTGTTGAAAGTGATGCAGAAGCTGGGCACATCACTTCCGCACATGTTCCTTTGAGCCCGCCTTGGTCACGTGGCCACATCTTGCCCCAAAGGATCCTGGGAAACATCCTGTCTGCAACTCCATTACCGTAGAAGGGAGCACAGATTTTGAGGAGCCGTTCGCATGCCCTGTTACAATATTTCTCATAAAAACCTTCTGGACTAGTGGTATTATTCTCCCATGGGCACATTGTAAAATGAGGCTCAGAGGTTGTGGCTTGGCCACGTTCGCACAGCTCATAAAGGGCATGCCTTGAAAGAAGGGCCCTCTGGCTGGGAGCCCGCACCCTGGCTCTAACTCAGCCTCAACCTATCCAGCTATGCATCCTTGTGCCGATGCTGTCCCATCTCTGGTCTTTTCTCCAAGGCAAGGGGACTGGACTGGCCAATCTCCAAGGCCTCTTCCCAGCCCTCTTCTCCTATCCTCCCTGTTCTTACAGACACTGCAAAACCAGGGAAGCTCCATACCATCCCCATCCCTGTCGCCCGGTGTTACACCTACAGCTGGAACCAGGACAGCTTTGGTAAGGAGCCGGGGCCCTGGTGACACCCATGCCCCACACTGTCAGAGCTGTCTTTCTGGTCCTGGGTCCGTGCAGCTCCCACCCCGTCCCCAAAGCTCTCCCATCTGTGCAGGCTCTAAGCAGAGCAAGGGGCAGTGCTAGGAGTCCTGGGCTGGCCCTGAGTCCTTCTGCTGTCTCCCCTCCAAAGGGAATATGGAAGGGGATTTGGGGGCCCAGACACCCAGACAGTGCTGGCCTTGCTTCCCTGCAGACATCCTGCAGGAAATCCTGCTCAAGGAACAGGAGCTGCTCCAGCCAGGGATCCTGGCAGATGATGAAGAGGAGGAAGAGGAGGAGGAGGAGGAGGAGGAGGAGGACTTGGAAACTGACGGGCATTGTGCCGAGAGAGACTCCCTGCTCTCCACCAGCTCTTTGGCGTCCCACGACTCCACCCTGTCCCTCGCATCCTCCCAGGCCTCAGGGCCGGCCCTCTCGCGCCATCTGCTGACTTCCTTTGTCTCAGGCCTCTCGGATGGCATGGACAGCGGCTACGTGGAGGACAGCGAGGAGAGCTCCTCCGAGTGGCCCAGGAGGCGCGGCAGCCAGGAACGCCGGGGCCACCGCAGGCCTGGGCAGAAGTTCATCAGGATCTATAAACTCTTCAAGAGCACCAGCCAGCTGGTACTGCGGAGGGACTCTCGGAGCCTGGAGGGCAACTCGGACACGGCCCTGCCCCTGCGGCGGGCAGGGAGCCTCTGCAGCCCCCTGGACGAACCAGTATCGCCCCCTTCCCGGGCCCAGCGCTCCCGCTCCCTGCCCCAGCCCAAACTCAGTACCCAGCTGCCCAGCTGGCTTCTAGCCCCCGCTTCACGTCACCAGCGCCGCCGCCCCTTCCTGAGTGGAGATGAGGATCCCAAGGCCTCCACGTTACGTGTTGTGGTCTTTGGCTCCGATCGGATTTCAGGGAAGGTGGCCCGGGCATACAGCAACCTTCGGTAAGAGCCATAACGAGAGGCATCGCTCTGCCCTGGGTAACAGCGTTGTTCTGCTGGTGGAATCTGGGGCCTGAGGCTTAGGCCCCAGAGGAACCAAAAGTTCCCTTATTTATTTATTTATTTATTATGATTACTATTATTTTGAGACAAAGTCTTGCTCTGTTGCCCGGGCTGGAGTGCAGTGGCATGATCTCAGCTCACTGTAACCTGTGGCTCTCCGGTTCAAGCGATTCTCGTGCCTCAGCCTCCCAAGAAGCTGGGATTACAGGTGCACGCCACCACACCTGACTAATTTTTTTTTTTCTTAGTAGAGATGAGGTTTCCCCATGTTGGCCAGGCTGGTCTTGAACTCCTGGCCTCAGGTGATCCACCCACCTCGGCCTCCCAAAGTGCTGGGATTACAGGCGTGAGCCACCATGCCCGGCCCCCTTCTCACTATCTTCTTCTTGCCAGGCGGCTGGAGAACAATCGCCCACTCCTCACACGGTTCTTCAAACTTCAGTTCTTCTATGTGCCTGTGAAGCGAAGTCACGGGACCAGCCCTGGTGCCTGTCCACCCCCTCGGAGCCAGACGCCCTCACCCCCGACAGACTCCCCTAGGCACGCCAGCCCTGGAGTACGTCCCCAGCCTGGACCAGTGGGGTGGTAATGTAGAGTTCTTGCTACCTGAAGGAAGCCGATTGGAAGTCATGAAAAGCAATCCCCTGTGTTGACAGGGCACCTGCCCCTGCCTGGCCCTCACTCCCTGCACTTGGACGTGACATTTTGCCATATGACAAAGACTGAAAGTTGTCATACTTCCCCAAGGGCAGGGAGAAGCTCAGCTTGGGGCTGCAGGTGCCATCCAAGGCCCTGGAGCTAGGATGGGCAGGCCTCCTGGGGAGCTGGAAATGACTCTTGTCCCTCGCCCTAGGAGCTGGGCACCACGCCATGGGAGGAGAGCACCAATGACATCTCCCACTACCTCGGCATGCTGGACCCCTGGTATGAGCGCAATGTGCTAGGCCTCATGCACCTGCCCCCTGAAGTTCTGTGCCAGGTAAGTGACCCCTGGGGTTGTGGAACAGGGCCCACTGGCTGCAGTCACCCAGCCTCACTTAGAAGGCCCTGGATTTAGAGAATCCAGCTTGAGGCCCCCATGGAGGACCTGGGCCCTCTTGGAAAAGATCTGGGAGTGTGGGTGAGAAGCAGGACTGAGCCTGAACTCAGGACACTGAGGGCAAGAGCTGGGGTCACTGCAGTGATGGAGGAGGGGCCTCAGAAGGGTCCAGGGGACCTCAGATTTCAGTCCCCTTCCTCAACTCCCGCCCTTGTCTGGCTAAGCCTCCCCAGAGGCTGGTGGGTCAGGTGAGGGGCATGGAGGCTGGGCACCGGCCCTCCCCTGCTTCCTGCTTCCACCTCACCAGCTCCTCATGGCTGGCTGCCTCTATGTCTCTCTTCTATCTTCCTCCCTAATTCTTGCTCCTTCTTGCCATCTATCCACCCACCCATCTGGACTGGCTGCCCCTTCCCTCTGGCCACAGCAGTCCCTGAAGGCTGAAGCCCAGGCCCTGGAGGGCTCCCCCACCCAGCTGCCCATCCTGGCCGACATGCTACTCTACTACTGCCGCTTTGCCGCCAGACCGGTGCTGCTGCAAGTCTATCAGACGGAGGTAAGGCCTCCCTGACCCGCACCGCCTCTCCCCCACCTGCCGGGCCTGCAAGTCCCCAGCCCTGCCTTGGGACAGCCAGCAGGTCTACGCTGGAGGAGCCGAATGGGCCCCTCCAGGGGGTTCACACTGATGTACATGCTCCTGCACTCTCCAGCTGACCTTCATCACTGGGGAGAAGACGACAGAGATCTTCATCCACTCCTTGGAGCTGGGTCACTCCGCTGCCACACGTGCCATCAAGGCTTCGGGTGGGTACTGCCTGAGCAGAGACAGGCGGGGAGGCGGGGCCTGGGACGCGAGATGCGGAGCTCTGGGGAGGTGGGGTTACCTGGGAGGTGGGGCCATGGGAAGGCGGGGTTACCTAGGAGGCGGGGCCACGCGGAGGCGGGGTTGCCCGGTAGGTGGGTCCCTGGGGAGGCAGGGTTACTGAGAGGCAGGGCCATGGGGGGGCGGGGTTACCCAGGAGGCGAGGCCATGGGGAGGCGGGGTGACCCAGGAGGTGGGGCCCTGGGGAGGCGGGACCCTGGGAAGGTGTGATCACAGCGGAGATGAGGCCCTGGAGTGATGGGGTCACTGAGGAGGTGGAGGCCCCCGGAAGGTGGAGTCAGAGAGAGATGCAGGGCCTTGGTGAGACAGATCCCTAGGGAGTCACGGTCAGTGTGGCAGGGGATGGGGAGGTAAGTCCCAGGGAGGCAAGGCCACTGTGTTCGTGAGGAGCCTGGGAAGCCAGAGGGAGTGAAGGGTCTGTCTGTGTGTGGCACAGGTCCTGGCAGCAAGCGGCTGGGCATCGATGACGACCGGGAGGCTGTTCCTCTAACACTACAGATTATTTACAGCAAGGTAAGACCCGGGCTGGGGCTCCTTCCCCTCCAGGATCTGCTACTGATCCTTCCTCCGCCAGAACCTGGGCCCAGAGCTGGACTTGTGTGTTCCTGGGCCCCAGTCTTTATGCTAGAAGGCCACAGCAGGCTCCCCTGGATGCTCAGAGAAGCAGAGAGGGGAGGGAGTGGATATCTCTGTGCTTCTTGGCCTCCAAAGCCTCTCTCCCACCATGTGCTCTGCCCTCACCTGAATGCGCTCAGCAGCAGCCCAGGGGTAGGGGTCTGCTGGGCCTGGCTACAGGGCTGGGGCTGAGAGGGGGCAAGGGAAGCCTTCCAGAGGCACCTGAGGGAGAAGCCAGGGTCTCGGGGGGGCCAGTGTGCCTGGCAGGCTGCATGCAAGGTGGGATTGGCATGAGAAAGGAGTGAGGAGAGTTGTAGGGAGGTGGAGGGCTGTCGGTGACAGGCCAGAAGACGTGAGTTCTCTGAGCAGATCACATCCCAAGTTCTAGGCTGAGGGAAGCTTGGCCTCACAGGTGGGCTCCTTCCTTCTTTCCTGCCTCCTTCCCTTTCTTCCTTCGGCCATTCCAAAGATATCCTCTTAGCACCTGCCCATGCCACCTCTGTGCTGGGCAGAGGAAAAGAGGGGTTGAGCAGGGAAGCCTAGGCCTCACTTTAGCTTGTCTAGAGGAGGGAGACAGATAAGAAATGAGGAAACAAAGAAATAGCCAAGATAATTCCAGACAGTGGCAAGTGATGACAAGGCAATAAAACAGCAGATGGACGGTGGCGTTGGGGCTGCGGTGCATTTGGCAGTGAAGAAGGTGGGCAGGAGGCACCAACACTCACTGCAGCCACATGCCAGGTGCTTGCTAGATATCTTCCACGGCCCAGGCACTGTTCTAGGCCCTGGAGCCTTCCTAAGAGTGAACAAAGGACAGACGTGGTCCCCGGAGACATGCTGACCCCCTGGAGTGGGCGGTAGGCATTGGTTAGATGATGCACACGATGTAAAATTACAACTGTGACACACAGATGGAGGAGAGGGACACGGGATGTTCCTAAATGGTGAACTGAACCCAGTCAGGAGAGTTAGTAGTGAAGGCTTCCTTGAGAAGGGACCTGAGTTAATATTGGAGGGAAAACCAGGAGTTAATTAGGCTGAGAAGAGAGGTGAGTGCTCTTGCGGCAACAGGAACTGCATGTGCAGAGGCCCTGTGGTGGGAGGCAATGTGAACACCTCAAAGCACTCTGAAAGAAGACGCCTGGGCTGGAGCAAAGACAGCCGGTGGGAACATGATGCCGAGGTGAGGCTAAAGAAATGGGGGGACCAGCATACCAAAAGCCTTGATTGCAGTGAAAGGAGTTTTTTCTTTTTCTTTTTTATTTCTTTCTTTTTTTTCTTTCTTTCTTTTTTTTTTTGGTCACAGTCTCGCCCTGTTTCTCAGGCTGGAGCGCAATGGTGCAATCTCAGCTCACTGCAACCTTCACCTCCCTGGTTCAAGCAATTCTCCTGCCTCAGCCTCCCGAGTAGCTGGGATTACAGGTGCACGCCACCACACCCAGCTAATTTTTTATATCTTTAGTAGAGACGGGGTTTCACCATGTTGGCCAGGCTGGTCTCGAACTCCTGACCTCGTGATCCACCTGCCTTGGCCTCCCAAAGTGTTGGCATTACAGGCATGAGCCACCACGCCTGACCCAATGAAAGGAATTTTATCCTGGTCCTAAGAGCAGTGGATATCCATTAAGGAGGCTTACGTTTGTGGTGGGGCTGTGAATGCTTGTGACATGATCAGATCTGAGGCTTGGAAGCTCCCTCTGGCCGCTCTGTGGAGGAGAGACTGGGAGGGTCCACAGGTGATGCGGGAAGGCCAGTTAGGAGGCTGCTGCCATGGTCCAGAAGAGAAATGAGGGCAGCAGCCTGCACTAGGGTGGTGGTGGCGGAGCTGGGAAGGAACAGGAGACAGATGGGAGTGATGTAATCAGCAGGGCTCATGGGTGGGTTAGGAAAGGAGAGGCCAGACTCCTGGAATCGCGCCTCTGTGACTGGCAGCACCGTCCTCTCAGGTGAGGACCACGGGAAGAGACCCGGGTCCAGTTGGGGAAGATCCTGAGTTTGGATCGGGTCATATTATTGAGGTGGAGAGGCCTTGAGAGGTATAAGGAGACGGTGAGAATAGGCGGCTGGCTGAACGGGCCTGACTTTGTGGTGAATACGAAGCTGGGTGGACAGCTGCTGTGGGAAAAGGTCACGGAGGAGACTCCTGAAGGGGGAAAGCAGGGAATACAAAGAGGAGAGGACCAAGGGGAGAGGCTTGAGCCCTTCATGATGAATGGTGGGCAGAGGGCGGCGATCCAGCAAAGCAGAGAGGCACCAGCCAGAGAGGCGCTAGGGAAACCAGGAAGGTTCCATCACAAAAGCCCAGGAGAGGTTTTCAAGGAGGGGAGAGCCGAGAACTATAAGGTCAAGTAAGCTGAGGACCAAGAACTGTTCTTGGGTTTAACAACAAGGAGGTCCCTGATGACAGAGACATTCACACAAAGACTTGAAGAGGGGGTTCGGGTCTGGCTGTGCCAGAAACAGCATGTCTGTGGGCCCGTCCCTTCCTCACTCTGGGCCTGGCAGGAGAACCTCAGGACCACCTCTGCAGGTGCTCTCAGCTCTTGTACCTTTCAACCTGGTCACAGAGGCTAGACCAAACCAGTGATGTGAGCTCCTACCTGGAGTCATCCAGGTCCATCCAGGGTGGCACAGGGGCCCTGGTGAACAAGAGAGAGCTTTCTGGGGACATGCTGACTAGAGGCAACCCCCTGTCACTGATGGGCCTTCAAAGAGAAGGTGGCAGGCGTGGGGGCCTCTGGACTCAGAGGGTCTGGCTATGCTGCATTTCCAGGGGGCCATCAGTGGACGAAGTCGCTGGAGCAACCTGGAGAAGGTCTGTACCTCCGTGAACCTCAACAAGGCCTGCCGGAAGCAGGAGGAGCTGGGTGAGTGGGGTGGGCAGGGTGGGGTCACAGTAGGGAGGTGCTCTGAGCCTGGCCTGAGTGCCCTTGCCCTTCAGATTCCAGCATGGAGGCCCTGACGCTAAACCTGACAGAAGTGGTGAAAAGGCAGAACTCCAAATCCAAGAAGGGCTTTAACCAGGTACCGGCTTCCCTCTCCTTCTAGCCATACCCTCAAGAGACTTATTGGAGCATGCATGTGCGTATGTGTGTACGTGTGTACGTCTGTGTGCACATGTATGTGTGTGCATGTGTGCACATGTACATCCATGTGTATACAGACGTGTGTGTGAGAGAGAAAGAGGAGAGGTGGGGGAGGAGAGGCAGGGTGAGGGGTGTGATTTGGGGATGTTTGAGGGGTGTGGAGTGTTGTGGGGTGTCAGGGAGGTAGGGGTACCCTGTGAGAGGACGCGTGTATGTGGAAAAGTTATGGGGTGGGTGCCAGGAGAGTCCTAAGACTCTGAGACCAAAGAAAGCAGGCTCTGCATTAGGGGACCTGGGGCTGCCCCGGTGAGGGCAGCAGGCAGGGCAGAGTCTCCTCAGGGGGCACTTGATTCTTCCAGATGCTGGAGAGGAGGCAGGGGCTGATGGAGGCCTCAGGCTCCCTCCCCTGACCTGGCCATTAACCCTGGAGCGCGGTCAGGCAAACCCCTGCCCTCCCACACCCCCAGAAGCGGATGGGCAGTTCTAAGAGAAAGAACTGCCAGGGGCTGCCAGTGTTGCATGGCCAGGGATTCGGGGCTGACCTGGACCTTCCTTCCAGATTAGCACATCGCAGATCAAAGTGGACAAGGTGCAGATCATCGGTTCCAACAGCTGCCCGTTTGCTGTGTGCCTGGACCAGGATGAGAGGAAGATCCTGCAGAGTGTAGTCAGGTAGGAAAGGGGCATCCCAGGGAGGGGAGCAGTTTCTGCTCCCACCAACCCAGAGGCTTGGAAGGAGCTGGAGGGATGGGGGCTTGCTCTGATCCCTGGCCCCTGCCCTGCCCCACAGATGTGAGGTTTCACCCTGCTACAAGCCGGAGAAGAGCGACCTCTCCTCGCCACCCCAGAGGCCTCCCGACCTGCCGGCCCAGGCCGCGCCTGATCTCTGCTCCCTTCTCTGCCTGCCCATCATGACTTTCAGTGGAGCTCTGCCCTAGTGTGGGCCCAGCGCCAGACTGGACAGAAGCCCTGGGGCAACCTCCTGTGTGAGCCCTGGGACAGTCCCTGTCTGCGGAGAACGGAGTGGTCCTGTGCAGAGACAGAGTCCCACTGTGGGTCCTGCAATGGGCAGGGTGTGGGGGTACAGGGTTTCTGGGGTCTCAGCATTCTGGGAAAGGAACAGCTATCAGGGAGAGAAGGGCCAGACCCCATAGCCTCTCAGATTCCTCGCAGTAGAAGAAGGATGGATAAATTGACCTCCAAAGTCCCTGACCACTAGCATGGTCTAGGATGCTTTCTAGAAGGAAGATCTGAGGCTCTGGTGCTCAGGGGGATGGCTTGGGCCTTTTCTCTCAACCTTGGCTGAGCCTACCCCTTACTTTGTCAAAGACTTGAGGACCCTGTATGTCTGGAGTTCAATCCCCTCCTCTCTGGCGGCTCAGGTGACTGAAATGTGGATGAAATATTTCTCTACTTCAAGACCACCTCTCCCTCCAAACACACACACACACACACACACACACACACACACACGCACACACACACACCCCAGCAATTTCTCTCTGTCAGGTTTCCTGATTCTCTGGAAGAACAGCACTAATGCTGCACCTGTCTACTCTCAGAACCCAGCACAGATTCTCTCTTGATCTCCTTTTTGGATCTGAGATTCTGGGAAGACAGTATAGGCTTAAATTCAGTAGCAGCTCCGTTCTAGCTAAATCACCAGAGGAAGTTAATTACCTTTGAGCCTCCATTTCCTCAGCACTAAAATGGAGTGGAGAGTTGGGGTGGAAATAAGACATCGTGAAAAGGTGAAATTGTCTGCAAAGCCCCTAGCCCAGTGCTGAGCTCCCAGTAGGTGCTCAGTAAAGCTTAGCACCTGACTTTCTGAACACCGATTCCTCCTGTTTGGAGCCACTGGGATACTCTCACCTCCGTTGGGATGCTCCTCACTCCTTCCCAATTCATGGCTGAGGCAGAACCCAGACTGAAGGGGGAAGAGACGTTCCAGACATTCCAGAGACCTTCGTCAGGGTAAGGGGTGGGCTGCTCAGGGGCCCCAGCCTTCAGCCCCTTCTGTATCACATTGGCCCTCCCACTCCCATCTCAATCTTTGTGTGCAAAATCTTCCATGCCCGCAAGTTCACTGGCACTCTTCTGGCACCTGGGCAAGATCCCAGAACAGAGGATGGAGTGACTGGTCTCACAGAGCTTAGTGCCCAGCTCAGGGGAAATGGCACTGGTGCCTGGGACATGGTCAGCCTAGGACAGGACATGAGAGTCTAAGATTCAAAGAGAGCAGCTTGAAGTGGTTTAAGAAGCTAGAAACCAACGTGGACTAGAGAGATGGGGCAGAAGGTCAAGACCAGGATTTGGACTGATAGACGTGGAGAAAGCAGCCACGGAAGTGTGAACTGTATCCCGCACAAAGTCCCCCTTCCCCTCCTCCTAACTCATTATGCCCAAAAGGTCTTACATGAAATTCCAGCCCAGAGTACTCATGACTTGAGAGATGTGGACAGAGCCAGCTTCTACCTTGCCTGGCCATTTCTCCCGTCTTTTTTTTTTTTTTTTTTTTGACAGAGTCTCACTCTGTCGCCCAGGCTGGAGTGCAGTGGTGCAATCTCGGCTCACTGCAAGCTCCGCCTCCTGGGTTCACGCCATCCTCCTGCCTCAGCCTCCTGAGTAGCTGGGACTACAGGTGCACGCCGCCACGCCCGGCTAATTTTTTGTATTTTTAGTAGAGACGGGGTTTTACCACATTAGCCAGGATGGTCTTGATCTCCTGACCTCGTGATCCGCCTGCCTCGGCCTCCCAAAGTGCTGGGATTACAGGTGTGAGCCACCGCGCCCGGCCTCTCCCCTGTCTTAATATCTGCTCTTGCTCTAAGCTCCAGAAGAGTGGCAGGCCATGTATCTTCAATATTTTTTTGCTGTATGGGCAGGTTGTCCTGTTACATGATCAACAGATGTCCAGGAATTAATGGGTGGAATTTAATATTTTTGTCCAATAAAACTTGATTTGTCTTATATTTAATGACCAATAGTTATTTTGCTGCATGACACCTGCTAGTTGGACAGTTTATATAGATCATTTTATTTATACCAGAAACAAGCTTCATAGGGGATTGTTTTATTTCTCCTTTTGTAATTTTCCACCCTATAGAAAATATATTTGGGTGAAAATTTTCCCCAATACTGTTCTGCTTAAGCCTCATCATACTCACCGACCCACAGAACAAAAAATCCTACACCTAAGGACTCAACATTTGGGGTTTCCTGTGCCACTTCACTTGAGAAATATACACCCATATATCCATCTGTTCCCTGTACCCCAAGCCCCAGGGAGGGGATGGGCCTCAGGCTGTTGCTGTTGGTGGTGGTGGCAGAGTGGATCCCGGACCTACCATGCAGCTGAGAGCGAGGGAAGAGAGCTCAGTAATGGCCCTCTGAATCTGGGACTGCCTTTAGACTTGGGTGATAAGGAGGGAGAGAAGAAGTGGAGGGATGGTAGAGGACACCTGTGGCTTGGGAGAGGGAGGTAAGTACCAGGTTCCCAGAACGCTATTCAGGATGGAGAGAGAAAGAACTGTCAGCCGTTTCAGCTCTGCATCAGCTGGCTATTGCAAACAATGAAGCACGCCTTCAATTCAGGGGACTAAGTCTCCGATCGTTTGTTCTCGCTCATGCATCTAGAGGTCATCTAGGGACCAGCTGATCTAGGTGGCTCAGGTGGTTTGACTTAGGCCCCGAGTGGTTTGGCTCCAAGCTGCAGGATGGGTGCAGACCTGCTTAGTTGGCCTCTCAGACATATTGGACCAGCCTGAGAGGCCAGCAGAGGCACGCGGTGCCTCCTAGGAATGGAGCCTGGAACGGGAACAATATTCCTTCTGCCAATAATTGGCTAACACTGAGGAAGCACATCAACCCGCAGACTTAATAAACCCAGCAAATTTTACACAGGAAATTTGACACAGGAATCTCCACACAAGAAAAAAAAAAAAAAACAAAATCACATGAGAAGTGCACTTTACCTTTGATGTTCTTTCCACAACTCCAGTCTAATCAAGAGAAAAAAACATCATATAAACCCAGACTATGGGACCAGATAATCTGACCAGTACTCTCTTAGTGTCACGAAAAATAAGGAAAGACTGAGAAACAGACAAAAAGAGAAGGAGTAAACCTGAAAACTAAGCAGTGGACACTGGCTTGAATCCTGAACATTAATCCAAAAACTGGTAAAATCTCAATACAATCTGGAGTTTAGTTTTTTTTTTTTCTTAAACCACACACACACACACACACACACACACACACAC